CACATGCCGTCACCGACCCCCCTGCTCCTACCCCAACCATTTAGCCGGCGAGTGAAAACCCTAACTTGGGTCATGAGGTAACCACTATTTCAAGCCCTAATCTGGTAGAAGGACTTACGGCCTCTGACTCTTCTGAAGAAGAAGAGGATTTCGTGCACCAATCATCACCCACACCCATGTCTTGGAATGAAAAATTACTCCTTTTAACTTGGCCTGATCACCACACTACTCACGAATCCATGGCTCTCAATGATTCCATCCCTCATACTGTTGAGGAAGAGCATATTGAATTTGATCTTGGTGCACAATCTGTTGGGGAAGAACCCACTGAGTCCCCAATAATAGAAATGAATTTGGAAGCCGATTAGGGGTATAACATCCATACCCACAAAGAAGAGAAAGGGGTTAGGAAGGGTGTTTGCAACCAGGTCTAAGGTTGTGGAAAAACAGCCCCCGAGAAAAAGGGCCAAATGTACACCTGCGCCTTCTGTCCAATTAAGGCACACGGCCTTTGTGCCACGAAAATCATCCCGAAAGGGATCGTCAAGGCAGTCCGAGACAACAGATCCATCTGGGGTAAAATCCAAATCCAAGCCCAAAACCATTCTGAGGCCCCAGATGCCTTTCGATGGTTTCAGTTCAGAAAAGGCACGAGAAATGTTTGACAAATTCAGGAACAAAAAGGTGTTGCCCGACAAGGGTTTTGATAAAAGGAGTGTAGAGGAATTTGGTTTTATACGCGAGGTAATCAACAAACATGGGTGGCAAAGATTGTGTGAGGTAAAGAACTCTTTTACCTTAACATTGATTAAAGAATTTTACGCGGAGGCATCTAGGTCAGCTTTTCGGCTAAGGCCATAAACAAACTTTTAGGCCTATCACCCCCGAGAAAAATTGAATATGGTACCCTCTCTCTAAAAGCTTCCCAAACTAAATTAGAGGAGATTGGTAGGGAGTTAGGAAAGATGGGGCCACATGGGACTCCCACAGCAATTATATGCTGCGATCTTTTAAGGCTTCCAACCTGACTCCCGATGCGAATGTTTGGATGAATTTTATTCGACACTCTCTCCACCCGACAACTCATGATAGCTCCACTTCGGTGGAGAGAGTCATTTTACTATATTGTGTGGTTATGGGAAAATCAGTTGATGTAGGGGAAGTTATTGAAAAGGTCATCCTCTATTGTGCAAGGAGGAATCAAGGGAAATCATTTTTTTCGGGCCTACTTAACAAATTGTTGTTGCAAGCGAGGGTACCTTGTTATACAGATGATTTAGTGATCAAGGAGAGTGAGGAGAAGTGGTCAATCGATATGAAAGCAGTATCACGGCTAAGAGAGAGAGGTGACCGAGGAAGGGAACATACGTGGATGATAAGGATTATGGAAGATTTATTCGCACAGGGCAGCAATCTGATGGATAGTTTGATGGACGACCAGGCTGAGATGGTAAACAAAATCGACGGGATACAAGCTAAGTTGATGGAGCAGTTAAAGGCAGGTGAAAGAAAGGCAAAGAAGAGGTTTAAGAAGTTGAAAGAGGAGTTGGAAGAGGGAGCTGGTAGTAAGAATAAAAGACTGCAAAAGAGGTTGAAGTATTACAAGGAGAAGAATGTAAGGCTAAAAGCGGAAATCAACGCGGCTGTCCGAGCACACAGCCTACTCCTTCGGAGTAGGGCAGGTTCTACCACATACTTTAGTCTCCATATTTTATTTATTTGAGTCGGGAATAGTTTTTAAATAGTTTTTAGCCTTATTTCTTTATGCATGATCACTTGAATTGAGTCATATGCACATGAGTTCATAGCTTGAATAATTATTCGGATTACTTGTCATTCACCCAAATCACTTTGTTCAAAACTAGAACTAGCAAACTACTTTTTGGAAAAATACTTTGATCACACAACTCACAATAGGAAATGATATAGGCCTTCTTTTCTATACTCATATTAAGCCACTTGCACCCTTTCAAACACTATCCACCCCATAAAGTGCCAATGAGGACATTGTCAAATTTAAGTTTGGGGGAGGAGTTTATATAAGGATATAAAGTCAATACCAAAGAGCAAAGCTCTAATTTGACTCCTTATCTTCAAAAGGGTTAGGAAAACACAATAAAAGTCCCATAGGGGCTATGTGTTTCAAAATAGCACAATAAAAAGTTCCATAGGGACTATGTGCACACTCCAATCAAAAGAGGCCAAAGTGCCCAAAATTTTGAAAAATTCATATGTGGAGTATAAAAGGAAAAAGGCAATGAGAGAAAAGAAACGCCAAAGAGAGTAAACCCTTTAAAGCCCTATTGATCCTAATTATGTGATTGTGTTTGAACTAACAAAGAAAAGGGAATGCTAGCCTATGGTTCACATAAAATGACTTGGTTTTGAATAACTCATCTTGGATTTATGAAAGGCTATGAAACTCATGTTGGGTATAACTCTTGTTGGGTTGGCACTTAATGCCTTGATCATGCAATTTTTGTATAAATTGAGTCTTTTTATTTGTCTTTTGGTTGCTTGGGACAAGCAACGGTTTAAGTTTGGGGGTGTGACATGTGTTGAGAATTCAACATATAATGCATTCGTTTTACATCTTTTTAGTCACAATTTGTTTCTTTTCATTCCACTTTGAGTCATTTTGGTTTATTTCTTTATACTTTTGTTATGGAGCTAAAAATATTGTGGTTAAATTTGTTGGGACGCAAAGATACAAGCTAATGGAGAATTTTTGCTAAAACAGCCTGATGCTACAACATTGCAGCAGCAACCACCTGTTACGTGCACAGTTTTCGAGGGCTTAACGATTAAGCTGCTGACTTTTGGATGCTGAATGGAAGACAGCTGGAAAATAACTGGAAGATTTTTTTTATCAGGTATTTTTGAATTAAGATGTCATCTTGTACTTAAGATTCCCTTTTATTAACTTTTGGACATTATCTAGTGGTTAATATCTTTGTCGTTTAGTGCAAGGCTTTGTGTATAAATAGGGGGCTTAGCCTTGTGATTTAAACACACCTTCTAACATATATTCAAGATCAAAATCAGCTGGTTAGGACTGATTTTAAGATAATCTTTTGAGAAATTTCAAGTTCTTGAGTTTTAAAGCTTTCATCCATTAAATTCTTGTCTTTTAATTTCTTGTTCTTTATTTTATGTTCTTTTACGTTTATTGTTATTTACTTTCCGTTATTTAATTTTCGCAATTTACATTCTCGTCATTTACATTCCCGCAATTTATTTCTCGTCATTTACATTTCCGTCATTTACTTTCTCGCTATTTACTTTACGCAATTTACGTTTATGTCTTTAATTTCCGTCATTTATTTTTCTTGTAATTTACTTTCCGTTATGAGTAGCTAAGCTTTTATAGCTTGGGTGTGAGACGGAAATGTGAGATTTTTAAAACCAAACAAAAGTAGCTAAGTGTTTTCGTAAACAACGTTCCATTGTTTCATTCGAGTTTTTATAAAAACCAAGCACACTTCTTGACGGGTTGATCACTTCGAAAGTGTTAAAGTGCGATGGACTTAGAGATAAGCCATTAATAAGCACGTCAACTTGAATGACATAAGAGGTAGACTTGAGAAAGTTGCCGACAAGGAGACTTGTCATATATGTTTTTCAAACCTTAACTCCTGACGGGTTGGTCACTCTTCGAAAGTGTCAAAATGTGATAGATTCAGAGATCAACTATCAAGAACACGCCAACTCAAATGATATGAGAATCGACTCGAGAGAGTGATTTTTAACAAAGAGATTTGTTTATCCATATATTTTGAAAACATCATCGTGTCACTATCCCTGGTCCAGACACCACATAGAGATATGGGTGGAAAGCTATAATATAGTGCAATGGTGAAGTCCGAGAGGAATGCCTTCAAAATAGATGATGGAACTTAGTTTTGAAACACTGATTGCTATAGCTGCTGGAATTTGTGTTTGGGTCTCACCTTAAGTCTTACACCCTTGCTACCTTTATATATTTTGTATTTTATTTTAATTCACCTTAATATCAAACTGAAGTTTTTGAAATTGTCATCTGAAATCATCTTTTTCATTGGACTCTCATTTAACTTTGGCTACAATCTCCGTGGACGATATTCCGGTACTTGTACCACTTTATTACTTGGAAAGACGACATTAGGCCGTATTGTATATTTGCTTTGTGGCCCAATTTCATTAGTCTAAATGTATGAAATATAACCGATCATGGTTATATTTATTTTTAATTAAAAATAAAATATATTTAGTATATGATTTTTCAAATTAAAAAAAATAAAAAAAGTTTAAAAATGATTATTRATGAAATTTATTTTAATTAAAAATAAAAATAAATTTTATTTTTAATAAAAATAAATTTCACTAATAATCATTTTAAATCTCTTTTTTAATTTAAGTATGCGATATATTTTATTTTTAATTAAAATAAATTTAATCATTGATTTTTTTTATTTTTTTTAGTTTGAAAAATCATTAACATAATATATTTTAATTTTAATTAAAATGAATTTTATCAAAGATTTTTTTTAAATGTAATTATTTTTTTTTTTGTAATGTATTAATTTTATATATCTAAATATTTTTTTGTTTAAAAATTGTTTAGTTACTTAATCGTTCAAAATATGAATGTTTATTGAGTTTTTTTTCGATCTTTTTCCATTATTTTACCATATTAACCAGTTGTATAGGTCATAAGGATGTATCTAACAGGTTTTAGAAAGTTCAATGAGTTATTTAACATGTTTTAGAATGTCCAAAAATTTATTTATTACAAAAAATTGTCTAAGGACTAAATTATTTCAAACACTAAAGCTTATCGAGTTTAAATTTTTCCCTATTTTAATTGTATAAATGAATAAGAGAAGAAATAATATTTTAATTGTACAATAGACAGAGTTCCCAAGCCTTTTTTGAAGCTATAAAAGAGGTAGAGTTTCCCCAACTTTTCTGAAAGCAACAACTCAAGCAATCGCATTTTTTTGAATTTGTTAAACTCAACAATATTATATTTTTTAACTTTAAGATCATAACAAAATGCATCGTCATCTTCGTCTTCTTTAACCTCCACCATATCCACAAACCAACCTGCTATTGCTAAATTCCTCAATCACAGACTCCTGTTTCTTTCAAAACTAATTTGCTGGGTTTTCTTCTCCTACCTTCAGATAAAGTTTTGGAGATAGAGATAGAGGAATTATAAACAAATGTGGGGATTCGGAGGGAGATTCTACTGGGGAAGGAGAAATCAAGACGAAACAAGAGGAAACACCAAAGGAATCGTGGTGGTATTCGCATGGATGTCAAGTCAGGATAAGCACTTGAAGAATTACATCCACCTTTACTCTTCCCTCGGTTGGGATTCTCTCGTTTGCCATTCTCAATTCCTTAATCTGTATGTTTCTCATCGCTTTCTACAACAATCCCTAATATTCATCTGATGTTTCCCTCAATTTTCGGACAATAAGGACATGATTTCTGTAACTTATTTCACAATTTTCGTCCTCAAGGTTTATCGTACAACATAATTGATTGAGTTCGCATTTGAAATTGGCATCGATATCTGAAATTATCTGATTGGTAATTCTTCTGGTTTGATTGGTTCATTGAAAACCAACTTATAATTAAGCTGTGGGAGCTAATTATGTGCTCATGAATTGGCTTGCACCCTATGATAGAAATTGAAACTTGATAGCTTCTTCATTGCTTTAGAGTTCAAATATGAGTCCAAATTCATAGACTAGTTAATGGTTCATGAAATGGATGATTATGCCTAATTGATCCTAGATGAAAGACACAAATGATACTAGTATTATTTGCATTCTGGCTTCATGGTATTCACAATTTCAGGTTCTTCCCAGATAAGGCAGCATCATTGGCATCAGACGTTCTAAGTGAGCTCATTAAGGTCAGTCCTTTTACATCTTACCATTGATCGTATTGTATCTAAACCAAACGAACTCAGTAAATTCTATACAGACCGGGATCTGGAAGAGGTAAGATGTACACAGTTTTTCCTGATCTCGATATCTGTGCTAATTGTAATTCTCTTGTTTTGTATGTTAAGGAGCTAAAAGATAGACCATGCCCGATTGTTTTCGCATCTTTTTCTGGTGGCCCAAAAGCTTGCATGTACAAAGTTTTACAGGTGAATATAGCCTGCAGAAACACACACACATATATGTATATATATTTGGGTAACTGTGGGTATATGGGTTAGCTTATGCAGACCGATGAATCCCTGGCGACCACAAATGGCCTACAGTCATCGCAGGTGAGCCTCTATGGCTAAAGAGGCTTAGGCAACACGTGAACTCAAACCCAGGGAAGATGAGATTTCCGCTAGATCTACTTGAAGTGATTGATGCACATATATTTGTTTCTTTCTACAAAGGGTTTCACATTCTTGGTTTCTTTTTACGTATTTCTTTGTTAGTTTCTAATTTTGTAGTTGTTTCTAGCATTAACTCGGTATCTTTTTCGTGTAGATAATTGATGGCAAGTGCACAATTCATATAAATCCGGTAACTTTCATCTTTGTGTTGTGTTCTTAAGGCTTGTGCTTTGTTGTTGCACTAATGTTTACCTTAAAAAAATTGTGATGAAGGATGATCTTCGATTGGTTAGAGACTGTGTTTCTGGCCACATTTATGACTCTACTCCTATCGATTTTACAAGTGATTTGGGTGTCCAAGTTTTGCTTCACCCGACCATTCTAAAAGTGTCACGTCCCCCCGTCATAGTGAGATGGATCGCGAACGGTTTCTCGTCTAGTCTTGATGCGTTGTTCCTTACCAAATTCGAGCTGCAACGTGCAGACTATTGGCAAACCCTCTACTCCACTGTAGTAAGTTACCATTACAATCATTGCTCGAGTTAAGATCATGTGAGAAATTTTTATTTTCATGAGAATGTGAGAGAAAAGGGTGAAGGTACCTTTATATTGTATGAATGTTACGTTATAATCATATTATGCGAAATATAAGGTTATCATAACCAGTTTTATGATAAGGTTACAAGGTTGTGACTTTCTCATATTCTCATGAAAATTTGTTCTCACCAACCTTATTCTATATCTATTTCAAATGAGAATTTTTACGGGTTTGTTTTGATTCGTAACGATGTAGGCCATGGGAGCACCGTACCTCATTTTGTGCTCCGAGAACGACGAACTTGCTCCTTATCAAATTATCTGCAATTTTGTTCAACGATTAGAAAATCTTGGTGGTGACGTTAAATTGGTGAAGTGGAGTAACTCCCCTCATGTAGGTCATTACCGGCATCACCCCGAGGAGTACAGGGCAGCTGTGATCGAACTACTGACGAAAGCTGGATCCATATATTCCACAAGAGTTGAGCAGCAACTCAAAAGCATAAACAATGAGACCTCAGAGCCAGTGCACCACTTACAGGAACCATTAGTTTCTGGCTCAAGATACCACCAAAACTCGAAAAGACTGGCTCTTGATTTGAACCAACGGATGATCGTTCCCAGATCCATGGCGTACGATCAAGTTAGAGAGACGGGACCCGTGCAAGGTGAAGCCGAAGAACGTTTCATTCGTCAATCTGTGATGGCTGAGATGAACTGTGATGGCATTGTTGGTGAAATCCTGTTTGATGTTGGTGTCCTGAAGAACGTTGAAGATTGGGATTTGAGGTCATTTGGGAGACATTCCGACATCAATTTTATAAAATGCATTCGAAGATCGAAAATGTAGTCATAATTATATGATGTTGATTTCAAGGGCCGTAACGATAATGATAATGAAAATTATAAAAATTGATTCGTTATCTATACTATATTATAAAGCATTTGATAAAAATTCTTAAAAACGATTTTTTATGCACGAAGTACTGTTTATTGATGCATATTACTTAAAATTTAAGATTACAAGTAAATTGTACATAAGTATAACTTATTAAAGCTTTATATTTGAATTCGTCTAACTAACTATAGATAAACGTAATCAAATATTGGATAAACATCTCATTTTAAATATAAAAAAT